AGGACCGCCGGGTGGATTTGGGCTTTTTATGGGTGAAGCATGCCTCATGTCTGTGTCGGTTTTTGCGGTTGGCTGCTTCGCACTGTCGTCTGGCAATGTGTATGCTTGTATAGTGTCAGTGCAAGAGAGAAACGAATGGGCATCGCTGCGTGGTAGTGGGAGCGCCAAGGCAGGAATCACAGCCCAGACACGTTCAAGACAAGTCACAAGCTCGAGGAGAAGTTTCGGTGATACAGCGGTCCCATTCCTGACGAAGTCTAGATTCTTGTATCAGGTTCCGACGACGTTGAAGCACTCAATGAATTGATATAGATTGGCAGTGAGGCAGGAATAGGCCACACAACACCCTCCGCTCCCTTCATCAATCTTCAAACGTGAAAGTCTCGGTCACATTGAACTTTGCAGCCCCAAGGTCGTAGTACGACAGAACTCGTGCATCTCGACTGACGGTGTTGGTTGTTTGAATGTCGCTGGACCACATGGGGCTGCTGCCAGAACACAGTGAGATGTCTGCAGGCGGTGCTATTCCCCAGACACCGGCTGGTGCTTTCGCCAGAGGTCCACTGACTGGGTCTAGGGCGTCGGCTGTTCGGAACGTCTTTCTTTGTCAGTGCATCTGTTCAGCGCGTGCATGATGTGAGTATCGTGTTGCATGTGCACGACAACAAATGCAATCAACAAGGAAGTTGAACGCCGTAACGAAGAAGTTGGTCCAAGAGCCATATAGCATGACCGCATCCAGCAGAAAGCAAAGCGATTGGAAGGTGAGCGGGTGGGCGGGTACGGCAGAACGGACATACTGCCATAGACAGGTATTCAGGCTTAGCCACCTTAGGGTATACCACTTGCGATCCGAGGCAAGCCTGGCGGCCCCATGACGCCGGCCACTCGCAGTGCCGCAGGCCTGTCTGTAGATCATGCAAGGGCTCATCAAGTGTAGCTTTGCCGGCACACTATTATTGTGGACCGTTGAAAGTTACGGTAACGGAACAGTGACAGTGCATCAGTCTTCCTATCGTCTTCCCATGGTTTCTTTGTGCAACTTTTGGCCTTGCTCCATATCCCCAGTCAAGGCTTTATCGAAAATGCGGGACATAGTCGGGCAGGGTTCAATCGAGCTCCGGAGGTATTGGCCTGATTTAGCTGCTCAGCAGCTGCCTAGTGACAACTCCACGAAGCAGACAACAGTGTTGAGCACGCCGGTTATCTAACGAGTTGCTGCCGCATTAAATTGCGAGGCACGCCCGGCGGCATTATTCCCGAGACGCCAATCGCTGCTTTCAAAAACAGCAGCATTCCTCAGACGCCGACTGCACCAGCTTCAGGCAAGTTGGGGTTCTAGGCCCTGGGGGGCATAACGAGTTTGCAGGACTCTTTATTTTACAGCAAGCCTTCAGGGTCTGGATGTTGGGTTACTTGATGCTTCGGTTTGAGCTTGTGTGCCCTAAGACCTGGAGCTTTGAATTTGGGCTCAGTTAAAGATCTCTTCCCATAAAGTGGCCTCTGCGCCTGATCTGTGCTTCGAGGGGTGAAATGATTCCCGCAAATCCTCAGCTCGAACGATGTCTACGGGAGCAGGGGCAAGGTTGATGCACAAAAAGTAGGACGTAGGGTTTGGGTGATGAGGAGGCGGTGTGTTACAAGATGTTACAAGGCCGTGATAATCTGCGGAGTCCGGGTCGATTGGCCAAGTAGTTCGAAGCTGCCTACCTCATGCGTGCGTGCGCGCGAAATGACGATCCCCGCCGCGATGTTTCTGACCTGCGCCCACGCGCACTCAACAGCTTCAAGGCGTTTTTTTGCACTTTCACACGTTCTGAGTTTTTTGTTCGCTCTCAAGACTTCCACGCCTTCTAATGGCAAAAAATCGCCTGAAGAGAGGCGCTCCCGGCGGCAAGGTTCCAACCACGCCTGTCCAACGTCCGGGGTCCGACGCAGGCTGGCCGTGGGTTCAGGTAAGGGTTGAGGGGTTTAGGGTTTCAGCGTCAGGGCTTACTGAACTTGAAGGGTTCGGAGCTTCATCCTCGACCCTTCTGGCTAGGTTAAGTTTTGTTCGATTGGGAGCTGCTGCCAGACTTGCGTTGAGCAAGCGGGCACAGAGAAAGCCGAAAAGGCTTGTTGCAAATGAGCTTGACCGCCTCACCCCTCCGAGCCTGCATTGCTCAGCGTCGCAGCGTCTTACCTCGTTTGAGGCTTGAGGTTCGATGTCAGAAGCCTCCGCGACCTCGAGTACGTTCGAGCCGAATCGAGACATGCATCGTGGGTATGGGGTGTTGCGAATTGTTAGTGGTCTGTGACGACAATTATTCACTTCCAGCCTTTGTTTTTCCGTCTTTGGCGCTTACGCCTTGCCAGGCGTTAAGCGTGACGAATGAGGACTTCATGCAGCAGAGGAGGGTCCGGGAAGAAAAATGTGTGAAGGTCTCGCCTAGCAGCCAAGCTTTAGAGTTTGCAGCGAAGCCAGCATCTGGGGCACAGGTCACTGCAAGCGGATGATCTTTGCTCCGCAGCACACATTTGATTTGCCTATCCGGATCAAGTTGAAGCCTTGCGAGTCACCGGGGATGTCAGATCGCATGAGCCGCACGCAGTCGACATGCCGCTTAGGTGTGACAGCTCGAATATTCGCATTCCTAATTCGCGGTTTGCAGCAGTCCTTCTGTTAAAATTCTGTCTCAAGCGTACAAGACTAGTCTACTGGGCCCTCACAACAGTCCTTTCTTCAAGCTCCGCAGGCAGCAAAACCTCAGTGCATATCTTCAGGGTGTCAGTTATCCGGGGCTTCGCAACTGATCTTTAGCTGCGCCGCGTGTCGCCTGTCCAACCTCGCTGACCGCGGTCACTCTGCAAGGCCTTCAGCTTTTGGAATGATGCAGGGAATTTCGGTACCCAGGCGTCTCAAATTGTGAGAAGGTTGTGGTCTCAAAGGACTCGGAGTTTACAGTTTTAAGAGCTTCGGCCTAAGTTGTACTCTGAACCCACCTATAGCCCTTTCAATCTTTATGGCGCATGGTCTGATGATGACGGATGATGACCAAGACAGTGATGAAGACGATGTATTATAACGATGATGACGATTGAACAGATGAAGACTAATGTGAACATGATGGGTATGCTGATGACTGATGATGAAGTCTAAGGGCCTCACTGTAGGTGCGATACTGAGGCGGGAGCATGTTTTTTTGTTCGATGGTGATGGTAGGAAACAGTAGGATGGTGATGAGGATGCTGATGATGATGACGGCCAGGATGGTGATGGTCATGTGTTTGGTGCTGCTTCTGCTGCTGCGACTTTTGCCGTAGGACTGCTGGGATGCGATGACGACGACGACTGCGACTTTGACCAGCAGTGCTACCGTCACTACGTTGCTCAGTCTGCTGCGCGAGTAGCACTTCGAACGCTAGCATGAGGACAATGAGCATGGTTGTTGTCGTAAATAGCTTGTTAGACCTCGATTAGTGCTATGAGGTATGAGTAATGCTACTCTGCTGCTTGTGTACCTTTATAAGCAAAGCACCGGAATCCTGTACGGCGGCCATCGGGCTCGTTCTGCAAAACTCCAAGCCTCGTTGGTTTGCCATTGCAGCTAATCTGGAGATAGAAGCAGGCTGCTTGGGGCCGAAGTAGAGCTCGCATCCGAGCTCCGATCAACTCCTATACAGCACCGCTTGAGGGGCTGCAACAAACACGTGCCGGTTTTTGTTCAACAAGTTCGCTACTTCCAGGCAGGACTAGAACGGGTTCTTGTTGCCTTGCCTCGATCGCGACGGCGGTCCCATCGAACAGCATTCCCGTGTGGGACATGTCTTCTGAATCGTTGACGTTCCCAGACATCCAGCACTTCAGCCAGACGTCAGCACACAAGTGGTCGGCTCCGATTCTCGAACACTTGTTGCAGGTGTTGCTGCTCAGGCCATGCAGCCTCCTCAAGGCTTCCCGACGCATGTGCAGTATGCTGGAGACTTAGTACTACAAGGGTGGAATCATCCTAAGCTCCATGGAATCGCCTCGCTTGACAATCGGAACATCTCCTGACTGCCAAGATCCGCGGAGCCCCTCCGAGATACGGCTTTCCAGCCCGGCCCGTGGAGGCCAAGAAGGCCGGACAATTTGTAGGTCGTGGGTTACTTTGGCTTCTTGGTTTGATTCTTTTTTACTCGTCATGATGGTGAGACGTCGTCGTAGGTGGTCGTAGCCGTCGACGTCGTCATAGGCGGGATGATGGGGTAGTCAGGAGGAGGAGGAGGATTATTGGTAGTGGTACGAGTAGGAGTAGGAGCAGGAGTAGTAGCAGGAGCAGCCGTAGCAGCATTCGCAGTCGTTTGCAGCAGAGGGCGGATACAGAGGTGGATCAGTCGTCGTCGCAGTACCCATCAGAATATGCCAAATCCATGAATCAACCAAACTGTGCCAAATCGATGAATTAGGAGCACCGACGAACAAACTTGCTGTTCTGCGTTCGTACTTGTAGTTACTGTGATCCCACGTGTTGTGTCATTTTCCGTGCCGACACTCGCAGCGATGTGTCAGCTGTGACATTTTGCCGGGTGCATGCCTCAATGACGCTGCCCATGCACGCACCTAAGGTGGTGGCACAGCTACCAGTGCAAGGCAGGAAGCCAGTTATTCTGGGCACTGTACAAGCCATACTTCTGGTCCACTGCATTCAGCTGTTAGGCCAGAAGCCTGCTCACCCCTTCTCATTCTCTAAGCTCGAACTGTTGAATAAATAAGGTCTTGTTGATTGCAGGTGCTCGGGCCGCACATGGCGCACCACCTGTCGCAGCAACGGTCTCATCGACACGTGTGGGCACCATGCATGTGTCATGAAATTTGTGAGCATTTTTGCTTGTCGAGCAGACAAGCAGACTGGTTTTCTTGAGGCGGTCACCGCTGTGCTGGCGGTAGGTTCCCAAGTCATTCTGACTGGCCAGAGTACAGTGCGCACCTATTTCACGAGAGTGACTGCTGCTTCTCTTGAGCCTTGAGAGCGGCTGAGGCACCAACTCCCAACAACTGCAAGATACAGCCGCAGCTCCAAAATCTGTCGTGTTCTCAGTGGCCGATCTCCCTCTGCATCTGTCTCCCTCACCCGTTTCACACCGTTCGAAACCGAAGAAGACGAAGGAACAACCAAGAAGATAGGGAAGGAGGTGAAAGAACTTTAAAGATATGATTTGACTGCACATGTTTCCGTTGACCATGCTTGTTATTTTGTGTCTTCGGCTTGCGTCCAGCTGACAAGCTAAAGACAAGGAGACGCTGCACAACAGGGAAAGCCTGCAACCCAAGTCGTACTCACATTATACATAAAGGTCCATGGCACATATGTTTATATCTATCCAGGCCATAGGGTCCTGGACGTCACTGGCTTGCGTGGAGTTGTGCATAATCAGTACAATGTTTGTCCGTCCCGGCCCATTGTCGGCTTCAGGCAACCCTGTCCGGCCTAAGTTTTGCGAGTGTGATGGCGGCCAAAGATGTGGAGACCGTCGAGGGTGGAGATGAGTCGATACATTCCATGAAGGAGTCCGCTCTTCCTCCAGCGTGGCGCGACGTCTACTCCGGCGAGAAATTCAAGGTCTCTACCCTCTTCCCTCCTTTATCTTGGTTGCCTCGTTACATCCGCTCCATGAAGGGCAAGCCGACAGCATCTGATCAGGAGGCTGTGGGCGAGCTGCCATACTCTCTGAAGGGCGACTTCATTGCAGGGCTTACAGTGGGTTTGATGCTGGTGCCTCAGTGCTTGGCCTTCGCCTTGCTTGCCGGGCTCCCCGTCAGGGCTGGCCTCTACTCGTCGTTCGCTCCTCTTGTGCTCTATTCCGTCCTGGGCACTCTCCGTCAGCTGCAAGTCGGGCCGACGGCCTTGATTAGCCTGCTGACTGGGCAGGCTTTGGATTCTGTGGGTTTGCTTGGAGAAGGCGGACATGCAGCAGAGGCAGCCCGTATGGCCGGAGCCACTCAGCTGGCCTTGCTTGTTGGCTTGATCAGCTTGGCACTAGGCATTTTGCGCTTCGGCTTTGTGGTGGACTTCATGTCGCATTCCGTGATGAGCTCTTTCTGCACAGCATCCGGCGTTATCATCGCGACCTCGCAGCTGAAGCACGTGCTGGGCATCTCCATGAAACGTCACAAGCACTGGTGGGAGACAGCTGTTGACCTGATTAAGATGCTGCCTGAGGCAGACGGAGCCACCGCGGCGCTGGGTTTCACTTTGCTTGCTTTCCTCACCTTCATGAAGGCTTGGATGTGTGTTGTGCGTTGCGTCTTTGTGCAGGCTTCTGAGCTTTGCTCCGGTGCTGCATGTCAGTTCGGACCCAGTAGGAAACCATGAAGTGGCGTAGTTCAACCAATTTCAACCAGCTATACACGAAACTTTTGCGTCTGGAGGCATGGAAGCAAGGCGGCAGCGCAGAGAAACGGAGCAAGCATTGCCTATGGCGCTTCTTTCCGAAGAGAAAGGAGCACATGCCCTTCAAGATCATGAAGTTGTGCGCGGACTTGTCATCTGTCCTCTGCGTGATTTTGGGATGGGCGTGGGGTCGAATTTATGTCGCGGCGGGCGTTACATCTGTGAGGCCCATCGGCGACACAGAGAGCGAAGGCTTCATCTTTGTCCTACCCACCTTTGATCAGACCACTGTGGATCTGATCGTCCCCGCTGCAATGATCGCCATCGTGGGGTTCTTGGAGACGATTGCCGTAGGAGGCAAAATTGCCAACGAGAAGCGATACAGCTACGATGCCAATCAGGAGCTCCTGGCACTAGGAACTGCCAACATCGGTGGGGCCTTCATGGCAGCTTTTCCTATCACCGGTGGCTTCTCACGAACCGCAGTGAACTCAATGTTTGGCGCTAGCTCGCAGCTGGCCGGTGGCTTAACCTCCGTAGTCGTAATCCTGGCTGCGTACCTCCTCATGCCCGTGGTGGAGGTACTGCCCTTGTCCGCTTTGGCACCACTGATCATCCACGGCGCCATTGGCGTCACAGACTTCAAAAGCTTCATCGCGACTTTCAAGGCCAACAAGCTCGACTTCGCGATCATGGTCCTCACCTTTGTGGTTTCACTTGGCATGACCGTGAAAGAAGGCCTAGCTACGGGCGTTTGCTTGTCGATCTTGAAGCTGACCTACGAGATTGCAATGCCTAACATTGCAATCTGTGGGCAGGTCGACGACGGAACTTTCCGCGACTTCCGATACTACCCGGAAGCCCAGATGACGCCGAAGTGTGTTGTTCTACGTATGGATGCCAGCTTAAGCTTTGCCAACACCCGGCGGCTGCAGGAGTTCAGTTTGCGTGCTATGAACGTGGCTGCTGCTGCAGACCCCTCGGTGAGCTACTTGATCCTCGATTGCAAGTCGGTGAATGGCACGGACATGACGGGCTGCGAGGCCGTGCAGCCACTAAGCTTCTCCCCATTGCTCACCCCTCGCCTTACGCCGTAAACCAACGGAATTGAAATAACGCTTATAAAGAGCCTAAGTGAACCCCCAAACTCCTCATTGCAGGCCATCGAGAACCTGGCCATCACCTTGGAGAAGCGGAAGATGCATCTGCTCCTCGCAAACCTGAAGGCTCCCTTCACAAAGGCACTTTTTGCCGCTGGGGTAGACAAGCACCTGGCCTGCTTCGAGTAAGTAGCCTTAGCATAGTTAAGGGTGAAGTTTGAGGGTTTTACGGCTTCAAGATGTTCGAACGTGTTGTTTTGCACAAATCAGGTGCCGGTAGCTGCGCCTAGTTTCACCCCAGAGTCTTCATCAGAAGTACACAGCTTGCTCAAGGCTAAGGGCGATCCCTCGACCCTTCGCAACGCCTTCTCTTTTTTTGATTGGAAGCCGAAAGTTACCGATCAACAGTTCGTACGACCTGTTAAACCTGCAAGCTGCCAGTAGCGTACCTACAAACCAGAAATCTCCGATCCCGTCTATATTTCCGAAGTCCTTCAAAACACTTTGTGCGGGCACCCAGGCACCTCACCCATCATGGCGGCCACCTCTGCTGGAACATGGCTCAGGCCATCTCCGTCGTGAACGGCGGTGATCCAGAGTCTGCCATGGAGAATCCAGGTCTGGTATTAGCAATCTTTGTGTGTGAGTGATCTTACAGAATAGTTGTTGCTCGTTTTCGTAAGTCAAGTTTAGTAATGTGCCTTTCATTGGTAGGCGGGCTGAGGGAAGTCGAACACAACAACTACATCAACAACAACAGCAGCAACAACAAAAACAACAGCAGCAGCAGCAGCAACAACAACAACAACATTAGCAGCAGCAACTGCAACAGCAGCAGCACCGGCAACAGCAGCAACAACAACAACAACAGCCGCAGCCGCAGCGGCAGCGGCAGCAGCAACAGCCATCACTTCGACGACTGCGACGACCACAAGAACAACATGAACACAATCAGAATCAAGATAGGCACTATCTTATCATCATCACCATGATGATGATCATCATCATGATCCCCTTCTTCATCTTCATTAACCATTATCTTCTGCGCCGTCAGCCAGCATAACACAAGCTTGTTGGTGCAGGGCCTTGGGGTCCACAATTACATTGCACATTCATTGTGGTGTTGAGTCTCAAGGATTACTTGATCAGTGCCTCCTTCGCCCCCGGGGGCAGTGTCAGACAGCTTCACCTCTGTTAGTGATGCAGTGCCATTATGTTCCGTCATTACTGACCGGCAATTCGCATAGGTATCCTCACTCCAACAGTCCGCCTGATTCATGGTTCTATTGTTGTATTGTTGCGAAGACACTGATGTCGACACTCTTCTCTGTTTGGCCAAGGTCTGTCAAAGACCTTCACTCCCGAGTGCAGTCCAGTGCAGCTCAGCAGAGTCCCTTGAAGCAGTTTCTGCCTTTGTAGGGTGTGAGTGCGATGGTCACGGCATGACGCCCGGATGCGCCAACTTTGCCTGGAGCAGCTTGAGGTGCTTGCCGTGCTTCCATCACTAATTAATGTCCTTTCGTGTCAAGATGTAGGGATAGTAGCATTCGCACTCGCTGCGAAATGGTTCATGTTGATCTCTCTGATACATTCGCACATGCTGCGAGATGAAAGACTGCATCAGGACAGCACGTGGATTACTAGCTGCTGCAGTCCAAAGCATTTCAGGCACTGCTTCCGCAGCTACTGCCAGCTTCCAGTGCTTCGCACGTAACGGTTTTTATGCTAAGGCCGCGCTTCCAGCCGCCCGACTTCGAAGGTTCGTCCGTCTTTGGCATTATGTATGCATCAGTGCATGCATGAGTTCATAGAATAGATCATTGCTTGCTTGAATGCTTGCATACGCTTGCTTGCTTGCTTGATGGATTGTCGAGCTGCGCAATGCGGCGCATCCCAAAAATGTACATGATTTCTAGGTGAAACAACTGCATGGCAAGGAATGCCAGAAGCCCTTTGCTGTACTCCTTGGTCCCTCCGTGAATCGGGCTTGAACGTGGGCCGAAATCAAGAATCGGGGGACGGGCGGAATGCCCTCAGGCACGAAATGGGGAGGAGGTCCTCGGAATAAAAGTCCAAGCGTGCTACCCTTTGTCTGCTGTTGGAGTTAAGGGGAAGAAAAAGCCAGCTGCCTCAGAGATTCCTCGAAAAAACGTCGACCTCCCTTTCAGCAGGCATCTATCTCTGGCAACCTCCGGGCTCTCAACTTGTCTGAGTTGGTCCAGGCTCAATAGAGGAAAGAGCTGCGACACGCGACGAAGACAACTGTCGTGTCGCTTGAGGTGTGTCCTGCCCTACGCTGCCCATCCAAGAGTGGCAAGCGTGGCAATACACGTCCAGAGTATGGTGCCGAGAGGGGCTCCATACCGCTTGACTGTTAGCCATGTGTGCGCACATATGTTTCCGGAGCAACAAACTGTCGTAGGCTTCCGGATGTGAAGTCACGCGCACGGCGGCTCCTTTGGACTTGAGGCCCTTTGGCTGATGTCGCTTGGTAGGGCGGATGTCCGCTCTCCTGGGTCTTTATAGGGCGGCTGTCGTGGGTTCCGACCTGGCACTGGCGGTGGCGCTTCGCTGGGGCCCGAAGCGTCTTCAGCTCCGAACCGAAGCGATCCGGCGGAAAGCCAGCTAGCTCCAGTGGTTCTGCACGTTGTGATTCCGCAAGATCGTGGCCTTCGTGTTTCCAGCCCTCCACCATCTGGTCGCCCTCGTGCTCGTCTTCGTTCGGAGCTTCCACTTCCAGTGTCCGGAGGGCATGTGGTAGGGCATGTCTGCCGGCGTCCTGGCTGGACACTGCCTTTGTCAGCTCTGTGTCCAGTCGTTGCATTTCCTTCCTTTTACGCTCTTTCTCTTTCAGCCATGCATTTCTCATGTCGGCGACGTACTCCGACCATTGTCTTGTATGCCCATCGACCTGCTTCTGCAAGGAGAGTACCTGCTGCTCCCGCTTGCGTGTACTGTTCAGGCTGGTCTGAAGCGCCTGTGTAAGTGATGGCGGCTGTGTCGGATCGTCCTGCTCCATGTGGTAGGGCAAGTCCCGAGAGTCTCGGCCTCATCTCGTCTGGTCGCACGGAGGGAAGGACATAGTGGCTCCGTTGGGCTTCCTGGGTTGTTTGGGCAACGCCCACGAGCCACGCCAGTGGGCATTGCCATACTGTGCCTCTTGACGACCTTTGTACCATGACTTTCCGCCCATAGCCGGGGACTGTGGTGATGAGCAGCCGTTGCAGATCTTTGAGAGCGGGCAGGCGTCCCAGCGTCGCGGCCTTGTGAATACGGGAGCGTGCTTTCCTCCTCTGTCTTCGCAGTCTCCTGTGCCAACCAGGGGATCCAGCGTGCTTGCCGATTGCAAGTACAAAGACGTGTCCCAATGGACGCTGGGGCTACAGCTATCTCCTGCTTCCTCCAGCTTCGGAGTCTTCTGAGCCCTTCGAGTATACTGTTACTCATTATACAGCCGCTTCAAGTCAACCTGTCATGTGCCATCATGTGCCTGTTTTTCTTGTGTCTCAGGCTTTCCGAAATTATTGGAACTGTCACGGCTGTGCTCCTCCAGTCTGTAACACGATTATTGTCTTGTTGGGACAGTGGTGCAGGTGAAGATGGACAGCTTCCACGTTCGGGTCTCGAAAATGCACTGTTTCTGAGTTCTGAACAGGAGTTGTGATCGTGGTCCTTGAGCACGTGCTAGGAATCTCTGGCATATGGTGGATAGTGAGGTACCCGCATCTGCACAACATGGCTTCATGAAGCCCTCCACACCACACACTGGACCCTAAACCCAAACCCAAACCCTACTGCTACCGCCTTCAGCCTCGTTACTTCGTGGGGCTGCTTTTGGTTCGGCTACTTGAGTAGCTAAACAGGGCACTTCCTGTTGCAACTGTGAGAACTGCGTCAATTTGTGAAGCATCCATGCAGCTTTGAACGCTGCAGCGATGCAGAATCGGTGAGGATGCACGCTTGCTCCGACCTCCAAGCAGGGGCTCTCGCGCAACAGCCAGGGATGCCATTCTCACGCCACAGCAACGCCGCACTCAAACGCACTGCTTGTGCAATTCGCAAGAGGGACATTCGTATGTGATAAGCATGTGCGCTCTTGCCTCTACCATCATCAACGCGACGAGCATGACCAACTGAGAGGTCGCAGACGTCGCTGCTGTTGACCTTCTCGATGATGAGGAAAAGATGACGATTGCCATCGTGATGGTGATGCCATTGATGATAGAGCAGCCGGCTGCGTCGAGAAACGCAGGGAACATGTAAGTCCTGCTTGACTCGTGTATTTACAGACCGCCCATCTGTACCTTTTCCTGTCACCCCCCCCCCCTCTGCCACAGCCCGTACAACATGTTCAATGCCGGCCACAATTGCCTACCGATAGGCGCGGCATGAAAATTTGCATTCTTGTCATTCTGCCCACACAGTTCAGTCCAAACCGGACCAATTCCGAAGCTCGCGCGACAGTTTCGTTGCTTCTCAAACTTGGCCTTCTGCATGTTGAAGACTTAGGACCTGATTCACCGTGCAGCACCCCGCGGGAGCGGGCACCCAGTGACGTTTGCTGACACATGGATTTCATAGTTCATTTTGCTTAGGGGTTGGCGAAGGGATTCAGGCTTGTCATTTCCGGTCCTTGATGCTGACCCGACATCTAAATCTAATAGGTTGAGGCTACGGGTTTCGCTTGATTTTGCTTCTTTGCGAGACAACTGGAGGATACGAGTCGACAGAGGGCTACGCATCTAAGAGTCGTATCCTGTTCGTTGGGATGCAGTTGTGGACTCGTTCAGCACCCTGAACATGAACTAAATGTGATCTTCGGAAGTCGGAAGACATGCATGCAATCTGCCAGAAGTTGCGTGTAATGTAACAGCTGGCGCATGGGTGTGTTCGGAAGCTTGAATTAAGCCTTCCGCACACACCGGGCAACAAGACCTAGAATGTTGACATGTTCGCTTCAAGCCTAAGTTTCAGTTGAAGTGCCTGTGACGAGCTTAGGATGGCTTGTGCCCCAATGCCTCGTCTAACTCATGGCAGGAATCAGGCCATTCCGACCAGCTGGAGGCGGAGCAAACTACGAATACTAGCCCCTGCTACTGTTTGTTAGGTTCCCCTGTGGGGTAATTTCAGGCCCCGCAGAATGGAAAACGTTCATCGTTCAATGTCATTTCACTTCTTCTGATGTTCTGTTGGTTCATTCCACAGAGGTCGCGCCAGCTTGGTGATGCTGTGTTTCCTTTTGCCGCTTTCTGTTTCGAGTGAGGGATGGGCGTTGCTTTAGTACCTCTGTCGAAATCAAAACCTGCATCGTCCCCACTCCGATCTGCGTAGTGTAAGTACTCAACCAGAGGTAGACCTCGATGATCGATGGAGCCGCATACAGGCAAGATAGCGAATAGAACTGTTGACCGATTATTTTTGCATAACCTTAGCCTACGGTCCTTAGCCAAACCAAAACATTGCTGAGCAACCCAGAATCATCACATCTCTGTATTGAAGCAGATAGTCGTTGTGGAGAGCTTTGGACGCAGGATTCACGGATGTAGGCGTTAGGGCTTGACCCAGTATCTCCTTAATCTACTTCAGATTTGTCTTCTGATTGAAGATCCGAGGTGCGGAACTCGCAAGGCTCCCTTCCTCAAATCTCAAAGCCCTGGTCATCATCAGCCGGAGAAGCTTCCAACAGATCGTAAACCGCAGCAGGATTGCGGGCCCTTCTCACCCGACACCTTTGTGGAGTATCGGAGTCGATCTAGTGGGCAGTGGATTCTCGCGAAGGTGCCGGGATCGGGAGCTAGGCAAAAGGATTGGGGTTATGGGCCTAGGCATTTGGTGCATGGGATTTCTGGTGGTAGCAAGCTTAGTTTGAATTCCTGGCGGAATTTCGTAAGAATAGGAGCGCAAGCTGAGAGAACTGAACTGCTGCTGCCGACAACGACGACTTCTCGTGCTTCTCCTTGCCCCTCCTCCTACTGCTCTCCTTCGACGACGACGAAGACGGCGACGGCGAAGACGACGACGACTACGACTACGACTACTACTACTACGACGACGACGACTACTACTACTGCTACGACGAAGACGACTACTTCTACTGCTACTGCCACTACCACCTACTACTACTACTACTACTACTACTACTCCTACTACTACTACTACTACTACTACTACGACTACTACTACTACTACTACCACCACGACTAACTACGACGACGACTACTATTACTGCTTCTACTGCTGCTACCGCGACTACTACTGCTGCTACTCGTACTCCTACTGCGACTGCTACCGCTCCTTCTGCTGCTGTAACTACCTACTACTAACTGCAAACTGCTGGTGTTAGCCCTGCTGCTGCTGCTGCTGCTGCTGCTGCTGCTGCTGCTCCTACAACTACTCCTCCTCGTCCTCCTCCTCCTCCTCCTACTACTACTACTACTACTACTACTACTACTTCTTCTACGACGACTACTACTGCTGCTACGGCTACTACTGCGACTCCTACTACTGCTACTAATACTACTACTACTACGACGACGACTACTGCTACCACTACTACGACTTTTACACTACTACGACCACCACGACTACTGCGACTACAACTACGGCTACAACTAGCACCAGCGCTAGCACTACCACCACTGCTGCTGCTGCTGCTGCTGCTGGTGCTGCTACTGCTACGACGACGAAAACTACCATTACTCGTACTTGGTAGTATTGTAGTCACACGCCCAGCAGCCACTACCGGCCCCGCCCACAGCCACCACCACCACCACCACCACCACCGCCCCAGTCGTCCTCTTCATCTTAATCACCAAGGTTATTTTCGTTTTCGTCTTCATCTTCTCTATCCCCATCTTTATCGTCACGACGCTACCACCACCATCATCATCATCATCATGATTAATCTCGTCATCATCATCATCATCACCATCATCACCCTCATGATCATCATAATCATCGTCATCATCGTGCTGGGGAGAGCCTGTTTGTGTTGATAGTGACGGTGGCAGGAATAAACGGTGTTGGGCAGCTGCATACTCGCACTAGCAATAAGGAAGGTGGGGTTTCATGATAACAGAAATCAAAGGATTGAAATCATATTGCACGGTCCTCGTGGCATGTGCGCCGTGTCGACACTGGCGGAGTCTCAGAGAATCTTTTGCCAAAAGCCGGAACCCGGACAACAGGACCTACATACCGCAAGAGCATAAGCTGTCTTTGAGTTCTGATCGAAAGTTTGCCCGAAGCTGGAATTCGTGCCCACGACATTTACCATGTTTTCCTAGCATGATTAGCCACCTGGTTCCAGTGAGTGGAGTTTGCTCTCAGGTTGACTTTCCCTAGTAACCACCCAGCGCAAGCACGGCCAGCGTTGTTGAAGCATTGACCAACCCCACAACATGGAGTGATTCAGAATGTCCAAGCGTACATGGCCGGACACCCTTTTCCTGCGTCAAACGGATCGTGCACGGAGGCTGCTGCAATCACATAAGTCTACGTTCAGGTAGAGAATTTCAATGCCGACACGCAGACCTACCGCCTGGATGTGCAGCCCTATGCCCCAGCAGACAGGCTCTGGGACAAAGGGTAGATGGTATCACCCCTTCAAAGGTGTTGTTTGTGGCGCAGCATGGGGCCCCGGGGATCTGGTGCAGCGCCAAACCGGCGATTGAATTTGTTAGTGTTCGGGCCAACTACCTTACTTGCTAGAGACGTGACACTAGGCAGGCGTTCACCTCCCCCTCCTCCTCTTTTCCTCAACTTACCTCTCAGCCTCCAGTGACTCCAGTGGACCACCCAAGCTTACACTGACTGAGACTGACAGGGTTCGTGCCCGGCGCCGCGGCTTACCAAAAAGGCAGCAGCTGCTGGGGAAATGTGGGAGAATAAGAGTCATTCGAGACTCCCGTAGTGCCGAAAGAGCGGCCTCTCTGGCTTCTTGTGCCTCTGAAACCTGCCACACATCCCTGTGTAGGCCGGAGTTAGCAAACGGCCAAGAGCCAGTCGCAGCCTGAGCCTCGTTGCCCTCGCCTAGGCATCGGCATGGTCATTTCTGCAGTTTTACACTGCACTCCTTGTTTACTGATGCATCCGTCCATGATGTCGGGCAAGGTGACGTCACACCATCCAAATGTTTGCGAAAGTGCTGTAGATCGAACTTGCTCCTCCTATCCCTTGCTATCTTGCGCGCATGCTTACACAGTTTCGGCCCGACGAAGCTAGATAATTAGCGTAGGTGGACAAGGCCAGGTTCGACACCCGAGCCTCAGCCCCAGAGCCGCCTCGGGCCGGAGCTTTGCCCAGGCAGGACCGGAGCCAGGCGACCGAGCTGCAGCCTCGGTCCAAACCCAAATCCCCCAGGCTCCAAGCTCGTGTGTCTTCGCCGCAGTACTCTCCATGCGAGAGAGCCGCCCCCATGCCATTTTGGCAGAAATCTACCGTTCTCCCGCAGGGTGCAAGCCCGCGGCTCTACACTCCACAGCTCCAGAAACCACACTACGCATGGCACAGATAGACACGGTACTGCACTCTTGGACCTGAGATGTTGAGAAGTCATGTTGGGCTTCTTGGCACCGTCCCATGCTCAGAAACCGTTAAGGATGCAACGCCGCACCGAGCAGTGGAACGGCGAGCGCAGGACACTGCCATCAGCTTTGCAGTTGCGGAGGTTGAAGTGATGCATGAACTGTTTTCGATTGATTGAAGTGCAGAACTTTTTATCACTTCCATTTTATCTGAAATTTCTCAATGTGTGGTGGATTTTACACACCCGAGTGCTTTTGTTGCTGACAGTGTTTTATAGAGGTGCATGAGAGCAGGCCGGGTACATGCTTTGTTGCAATGTGTTTTCTCATGTTTGATTCACTCAGCATGTCGCATCCAACGGCGCTTGATCGGGCCTAGTATCACACAACGTCGTATCTTGCGGAGCCGAGCAGGAAGCATCGCGCGAGACACAGTTCCTTGCCTGCAAAGCTATCATTTCGGTGGAGCGCAGAATCTTGACAAGCGAGGACCCTCATGTTTTTTCGAGGCTTTCGACTTGCCATTGATCCGATTTAGGTCTGCTGCGCTGCCCTGCGAGCCGGGCATAATGGAGCTGTCACTGCAAGACGAGGCTGAGGGGACAGTAAACTCGATCCATGGTCCATGATCGATATTCAGCATGGTCGGCCTTCCGATGGAAAGGCTTATGGACTTGTAGAGTCCACGTCGAGACACATTGCATCTTCCGTTTCTGTTTCCGTTGCTTCTTCCGTTGTCTTTTCGTTTGGCCAAGGTCTTCCCTTCTCGCTTCGACTCCGTTTGCCGTTTGCTTTTTCAGTTCCGTTCAGGCTTCCATTCAAGCTTCCGTCGTCGGTTCGCTTCCTGGGTTCTGATTCATGAAGCAAACTGCTGCATTTTGCATCTTCATAGGCGCGCGCAGACTGTTTTTGTTTAATGTCATATTCTGCTGAAGTTTAGATCACAGCCTAAGTCTTTCCCGAAACCCTGAACCCTAAACGGAGAGGTGGAGATGCTGCGCCGGCGAGTTGTTGAGCTTGAGGAGCAGAACCGGACTCTGCATTCACAGGCAACCCGAGCCTGATTCAATCCACGGGGACACATTCACCAAGTTACATAGAAAACATAGAACAATGGAGAGTCATGTTGTTTCTGGAAATTGGACAGTGCACCGAGCGATCGCAGCATGGGCCCCATCATCTCAAATCCTACGGGCAGAGTTCAATCCTCACTTGAAACCTACCTTGCAAGCAGGGTACAGAACACCCATGCCATGAACCCTATATCTCCAAATTCATTAAACACGTAATGCCAGGTAGCGCACGAGACTGAGCTGAAGGAGCGCTATCGCCAGGACCTGGCATGCTCAACTGTTCAGTTCCTATTGTGTCGACGCCATTGTCATTGTAAGTCGCGTTCCCGTCATGTGACCAGTGCTGCTGCAAGGTCGCATGGCTCCTGTTACTATATGTTGAGAACACGTACATGATATACTGTCGCAGTGCTGCAAGTTTGGTTTGATCGCTGGCACCATAAAGAAGCAGAGGTCAAGCTTCAACCAACATGATGTAGCACCCCCATGGCACAATCGGAGAGTACCGTTCGCAGCTACCGTTTCTTTGAACCAAAATTCAGCTGTCCTAACACCTCAATTGAGGCTACTGTTTCAAGATGTCCGGTGTTTGTCGTGGAGTTTGACAGGATGAAAAATCAAGATTGCGAGTCCCCCGGGCAAGATGGGACACACAACAACCGATAACGCTAGCGCAGGATAGCCCCATTACGCGGACTGAATCTCTGGCTCCGGCATGCCATTCTAATTTTGCTAATTACTCAACAAAGTATGTCGGCATGAACACGCAGGAACTGGCGGAGCTTCGCAAGTGGGGCCAGACTCCGCGATAGCAATTCTCCGAAGCGCAGTCTCACCTGCCGTTGAGCGCACGATGAGTCTTTCGGTCCTTTCGCATGGGAAGGCTTGGTAATCATTCTGCAGTTAACGAGTTGAATTCAAAGTCCGGGAGATACGGCTTGCTGGCACCTAGGACGGGTGCAGACTTGTGATCCACCAGGTCTCAGCAGCCTCAAGCCAAACATCTCCAGATGCAAAACTTGAGCAAATGTCATGCTTGGGGTTACCGAGGCAACAGACAAAAAGAGACCTCCAACCTCGGCTTTGTATTGGGCTCTTGGCATGTAGAACATGGAGCAAGCGCTCTGATTGAAGGCTGCGCCAGAGTCATCATAATGCCTGAAGTGGGCCTGAAGCTTCGGCTCAGCTTCTCGTTTGGAGACTAGCCGTACGGTAAGCAAATCTGACATGCCGGCCATGAAGTCTTCACTCATGTTCTGGATTCACCGCGAAGAGTTAATCCGTGGGACCGCGTCAAGACCAATCGTTTTTGTTGCCGCACGGTTGCAATGCTGGTGTTCCTTCTGGCCAAGTGCCAGTTGCCAGCACAGAAAGGCTTTCTAGTTGCTCTGGGTGCAGCATCACATCAGTAGAGTCGTAGGAAGCACCCTGCCGTACGCCGCATATGGCAGCCAAGCGGCCGCATGCAGACAATGATGATGCGGAAGACTCCAGGTTGCAACGAGTTGTTTTCGCTTTGGCCTCCACTCTGTAGCACCAGCGCCGCCTCCACGGCTATGGCTGTCGGCGAGGAAGGGACGGGGAGCTACAGACCATGGCACTCTAGGCAAAGACCCCTAAGGCCCTAGAATCATTCACTCTTTCTTGCCCCCAGGACTGTGCCCTACCGAAGCGGCGGCTTGGAACTGTGCAAGCCGTGCTTGTAGACTTCGATGCCACCCTTACAGTCCGCGAGGAGCCGGGCGAGAGAGCTTCGAATTTAAGTGGTGCAGACAGTTTTGAGAATTGCAACAAACGCCAGACAGATGTTGGCAGGAGATCCCTGCATGGCGTTTGTTTCCGGAGAAGGGAGGCTTTGATCGCGAAGTCGATGTTTCTTGGCTCCGTGAACGAGGTGGCTTGAATTGGAATTGGCAACTACTTGGGGACTTGGGAGGAAGCATCCTGATTCCCCTCGTGTCAACAAATGCTCTGTGCATGCATGCGGGCTGAACCTTATGTCTCGACGCTACTGGTGGCACTCTGAGCTGTTGTTGCTGATGTCAGGACTTGTAACAAGAGCGAAAGTAGCAGTATCATCATAACATTGTCTGTGAACAAAGTATATATCAAAGCCTTACCAACCGAAGCACTGATGTATGCTCTTCTCAGCAAGGGGTAGGGGAGCAAGAAGACCACGTCGGAGACAGGTCTAGCGACACCGCCTAGGCTTCGGAGGCGAAGAGCGCATCCGGGGCTTGGAGAAGATGTTCCGCCGGCTCGACGAGGCCGATGCCGCGAGCTCAGAGCTGGAGCTTAGACTTTGGGGTCTAGGCCACTGGATCAGAGTCGAAGTTCTTTTCCGGCTCTTTCTTTTTCTCTCTCCCTTTGCCACTCTCGCGCTCCGCTTCCTCCTTCGCTCCTCCCTACGCTAGGTAACTAAGGCTGGCTCATAGAGCCGAGGTTATGGAAGCGATGCGAACAGATGCTGTAGTGGTGACCGTGATAGTGCAGATTCAATCCAATGTCTATAGCTTCGATTGACATGAGAATATGACATGCACAGGTTATACCGGTCGCTAGTTTAGGATTGGTAGAGATCGCATAGGAAGCGTCGCCGGAGTGGGCCATGTACGAAGAATTGAGATGGATTGAATAAGCATTCAAACGCGACTTGCGAGACGTGTGCAGACTCATGAATCCGTAAGGATTGCCATCGCAGAGACTCCAGAGCTGCTGTATGGTTTCAGCAGGTCGATGATGTCGATGATTGGAAATAGTGGTTTTGTATGGCATTCTGTAGACAATGCGTACTTAGGTAGTATGCAGCTTACATTATTACATATGAAGCTTCAATTGGTTGCTTGGTTTATGATCACGTTTTCTTGCAGAGCCTACGAGTAGGTTTGTTTCGGTCCGGACAAACTGTCGTTTTCAACTATGGGAGACACAGGCTCAGTGCATGTTCGTTTGTGTGTTTTGCTTGCTCAGATATACACACAGACACACACAGAGACATCAACAGACGTATAGATGGACAGATGCAAAGAGAGGGATAGAGAACATGCGGACGACTGCTAAACAAAAAGAGCGTGCTGCCTGCCTGCTCAACAACCCTTCAAACGAAAGTCAAAAGCTAGACAGCTTGCACGAAGTGGAATCGCGGTCTCGTTCATGTCATGTGCCAAAAGGGGCGAAGGATGCAGATGCATCTGCGCTTGTCTTCCGGTCCTTGACGGGTAGGACTTGGGTTTGTGGGACTGCAGGATGCATTCCGGCTCAGTCCATTTTCACCATGTTATATAACCTGACCCTCAACCTGGACAGCTTCGACGCCCATATCCCTTCGCCTATGGTCGAAGCCCAGGTTGAACTTCACGTGGTTTCATGGGCCGACCGCATCTTGGGAGCATTCGTTGTGCAAAAACTTCACAGTTAAGCAGCGACGATAGCAGTGGCAGCACTGGCAATTCTCGTCGTCACGGTGCGCTCAGCCGTGGCATTGCTACTTGCTATTTATCAGTTTATCAGTATCCAGTTTCATTATTCGAAAGCTCCGCATATTGGTAGCTATTCTGAACAGCGGTTTGGCAAAGAAACATTGGGCAACAGTGCTAAGGATGCTAAGGAGCTGCCACAGCACCCGTAGAAGGGCCACGCTGCCGGCCACCTGACAGTAAGGGCAACGTCAGACGTCAGCACTTAACCCAGGTTGGAATTAGTTTGCCCAGCTAAATCACAGGCAGGATACAGTGAAGTGCGATGTAGCTGACATCAAGTTGGTCTGTCCAGAGTTGCTTCTCTTGCCACATCCTGGCACGGCTCGGGGCTGGTGAAGACTTGTTGCCATCCGTGGCAGAGCAGGTCCCAACGTTGTTGGGTCTCATGTAGCTTATCGATCTTATAGTAACTTTCCATGCTTTCACTGTTGCAACATGTCATTGTTATTCGCGTGATCTTGCGTACTGCGAGAGCCCCAGAACAGCCGTTCGAGGTGATGTTATCGAGCGTGCGCTTTCTCTCCTTGGCCTGCTGACGTACTTCAAGACCATTGCGGGCATGCAGCAATTAGGTTCACCGGGCACGTGTTGTGTTTCGGGTTTAGGGTCGCGACTGGATCCTGCCTCCAGGTCAGCACAGTGGCAAAGCAGCTTTCATCCAGAACCTCATCTCGGAAAGAAGCTTGAAGCGAAACCAGGCGACGGAACAACTCGAAAATCTTGACCTGCAGTACCATAGGCACACGAGCCACTAGTCATCGGAACCAGGAGTATTCGAGGGCCGACTATGCGTCCTCTCTCTCGTATGGACAGTGGGCAGGTCTTGTTCATTGACGACCAGCAGAAAAACGTGGACGCTGTTGCAGAGGTGTGCCTCACACACAAGACCAGGCAGAACCCTGTGTCGAGGGTGTTTGCAATAGTGCCCCTACCTGGATGGCCGCAGGGGCCGTGGGTTGACCACAACGGAGATGGACAGCATCGTGCAGCAGGTGACTGCGCTTGCATGGATAAGTCCGCAAGCTTGCCTGCAAAGCATCTTCAGCAACACAAACGGGCCAGCGCCGCTAAGTCCGGAGTGCCTGCAATTATGCGTGGCATGCGAAGCATGTAACGAGACTGCATTGTGTTTTCCTGGTGGCATCTCCTGCTCACCAGGCCACAGCAACTACAAACGACGCCGACGGGCAGCAAAACAGCTGCATCACTGCACCCGAGTTGAATAGCCGACAGTATGGGCGCGCGTCAATCTGTTCTGCCCAGTTCGCTACTTTGTCGCCAGCCTTGAGCCGCAGTGGTTGCTGGCAAATGTCAAAGTGGTGAAGTTCATTAGCACCAGCTCAACGCGCAGGGCATGCTAAGACTACAGCAGAGTTTAGGCATGTTGAAGACAGCAAACTAGACGACACTAGCCGTCATCTCATGCTTTGTGCCACATCACCACGCTACTACTGCCTGCCACAGACGTGTGGACACCGGGATCCTGGCCACGCCTCACGGTGCTTGCAATGGTCAGTCCCAAGCGCCCCAAAATGAAGCCATGGCGGACCAGGAGGCGGTAATAGCCTGCACCCTACTACAGTCTTCTCTGCAAAGGGACAGCCGCGCACGTGCTTCGGCTTTCGGGCTTGCTGGAACTTCAGGCTGCACGATCTAATTACAGGGTTTGATGACTTAGGATGGTTTTGCCAATAGGTTTGTCAACTTGCTTGTCATAATTGCCGTGTAGATCCTCCTTGCACGGGTCTCCTCTTCCTCTTCGCTGGTGCACAGCTAGAGCAGCTAGAGTAGGATGCCTCTTGTCAGTATAGTCACCTGCCGTATTCTCTGTAGTATACATCGTTTGCCGGTTCGAAGCATATCGGAATCCTATCAGATGAAGCCAGGAGTCCTGCGACGACGACGACAACGACTACGGCATACTATGGCTGTTGCTACTGCTACTTCTACTCAGGCTTCTGATTAACATTGTCACCCACCGCACTGTCGTCACTGTGATTAGTTACCTCGCATCACTCACACCATATGCAACTCGTGACTGGATGCTTCTGCGCTCCTGGTGTTGCACGGCCTGCTCCACTGCCAGTCAGCATTCGAGGGTCACACGACCGGTCAAGTAAGGCAGGAAGCTGGTTGTGGAGTGCATTCAAATGTCCGGGGGGTCCTGAATCCTATGTGCGAGACTGCCCCAGGCAACTCTAGCGCAATGTCAGCCGTCCTCTCACTGCTGCTATGTGGTCCCGTTCCCGGTGCCTCCAAGCGTCACTTTTCAGCCGTTCAGCATCAGCAAGGCTGCAAAGAGGGAGACATGTGCAAAGCTGTGGGGCTCCCAGGAAGCAAAGCTAGAACGTTGGATGCAGTATGGCTGCAACATTTAACATTCCTTGCTCTGCTTGAGGATTTCAAGTCTGGCAATGCGCCTGAGAAGATTCAGATTGCTTGTGCGTCGGTCGCTCAGCATTAACTGTTCAATGTTCCTAGCAGCTAGCCTAGCAGGTAGCACCTTTCCGTGGCTGGCTTTCAAGGAGCAAGTCAACTCGATCGGCAAGCACAGAGCATTCGGACCGTGCTGCCTCAACATGCTTCAACTTGATTGTTTTTTCTATTCGCCTTGGATCTGGAACTTCTCTGAGTATGTGCTCTATCCAATGATGCGTCGCTACGATGAAGGTACCACGTCTGGCACATCCCAGGCCTTTGCCTTCGGACGGCGATCTTCCCAACTGTTCCACATAATATATTTCAGCTCAAGCGAACTTGTTTGCAGGTGGCTGAACTTGACGAGATCGAACGAAGAGTGCTGATGTCTCGGCATGATGCTTTTGTGGTGCGATTGTTGCTGGATCCGCATGGACAGCCTAGATTCTCAGGTCACATCTCGTCCAAAGCCTCTGCGAGGAGGATGCAGCAGCACTGGACAGTTGCTCAGACATTCGATATCGCTCATGATTTTGTGTGTCGTGATACTGCAAGACGAATGCTGTGTAATCCAGGAGTGCAAATTCGAAATTCCTGCAACCCAAGGTCGTGTGCCATGTCAAGGGTAACATGTACAAGATTAATGGACGCAGGGTGAGGCCGTGACAAGCTGCATGAAGGGATTTGTGAGCTTCCCGGTACCTGCTTCTTAAGTCCTGTAGTGGGCATTCGCAGTCGCACAGGTTATCACTGTCGCGCAGAGCTGTGGTGATGGTACAGGAGGAGCTTTGGCGGCATGGAGCGGTAACAAATAGAGCGCGTCAAGCAGTTTGGAAGATTCTCTGGTTGGCATCGCACAGGCTGCACAAGGATAAGCACCGGAAACCTGAAGTGTCCAACGGCACCAACAGCCTAGCAGCCGACCTAGAAGTAACTCTAAATTCAATTAATGTTCAGGAGATGCGTTCTGCTGCCATTCTGCGAAGTCGTAGCGACGGTCGCTCTTGGAAGTCCAAATATCCGAGCAGCCGAGGACTTTGATGCGCTTCCACTTGTACCTCTTGAGACTTACCTCCAGCAGGCTTCGGGCGGGGCTTGCGGGGCTTTTCAGCTGGAGCCTTGGCCTGCAGTCTCCAGCCACCTTGCCGGCTCAACACAGCATCTACCAGCTTAGCCGTCCAGCCTTCGCACAGTCGAGCCTGAACTTGAACCAACGCAGCTGGTCCAAGTAGTGGTAGCAGTAGTGTTCCACATGGTGGGGTGTGCCCTTAACTTAGGACACTCAGACCGTGTTTTCAGGGCCCCCAGATGAGACGTCCTTCACCGCCAAGAGCTATGGCTCTGCCTCTTCTCATTGGCCTCTGAATTACCCCCAAGTTCCCAAGTCCTGGGCCCCGCAGCTTATGAGCTGAGTGCTTCGATCCGTGCAGCCCACCGGAAGAGGCCGAGGGGCTTTCGTTGAGGGAAATGAGTTGCCTGGAATTTCCTAATCCCGGAGTGAAGGCAGAGCATGGCAGTCGTTCAGTGGCACAGGCGTTGTTCGCTGAACAGACAGGGCTTGCAACAGGAGGCTTGTGTGTTCAGAACCGAAACATACCGAAGCCCTAAACCCTATGGTAGACCGCCAGCACAGCGCCTTCAGCAAACTCAGACTGAGGAGCGGTTGAACCGAATGAAAGGGCCGCTGGAGAGTTCTCCAACATTCAGGGGCAAGAGCCTAAGACGAGGCATCCTTGAGCCTGAGAAGAGGTGCGTATCTGTTGTGAAACATGCGGGAGGCTGATGGCGGGCCACGACCGACGATGTCGCTTGGTCCGCCTCGCGAGCTACAACCAGGCGCCGTTCCAAGGGATGCCTGTCCTTGTGAGGTTCATGCAATTTGGCATCGAAGACAGAAGCATTCCAGTCTTTGGAGAGAGGGTCCAGGTCAACCTTCAGTAGCAAACGCAGACCTCACCATTTTTCTCTACAGGTAGTTGCGTTATTGCGTGGCAGCCCTTTTGGATTCGCGGTCGCTGGCTCTCAGTGATGCAGGTTGCAGGGCAACAGCCGAAAGCTCCTTTAGGTTTGCTTATTGTTCGATAGCTCGACAGTTGTACAATTCTGAGACACGGATGCTGGTGGAAAACGCCCAACTTGATATCAGGGCCTCACATGCCCGACATCTTGGACTCGGGGAACACCGTAGAACTGCACAGGCTGGGTGGCCGTTCCGCCGACCAGAGAAGGAAAACTTCGAAGTCCGAGGACTCGGGCGGTTTGGGTCAGCTAAATAGTCAGGTCACGTTAGGCTGAACGCTGTGCGCGAGCTCTGACGTAGCATCGTTCAGAGCCATCTGCTCGACCTGCCCAGGTTATCAAGTCGGCATGCCGCATCTGTCACAGTCTAGATGCGCCGTGCTCAGAAGTTTGCTGCATCGTGCACATGGCGGGCAGGCTTGGCATATGTTACCGGTGTTACCTCCCCCGTCCTAAAGTGTCCCTTTCTTTTGTCCCTGCTGTCTCGAACTTCCCCCACCAATCAGTTTGGTAATCCCAACAACGCAAACTGAAAGTTCTGTGATGATCTGAGGAAAGCCCTGACGACCCTCTGGTCGCCCCCTGCCGATGCGACGGCTCCTTGAGATATGTACACAACAGCTGCCAGCAGGCAGAACCAGCATTGATCTCATGTGGTTCTATTGTCGACTGATGTTCCCAGACTCACCCAGTCTCGGGGTTGCAGAAGTTTGAAAGTTCGCCGGTTGAAGAGTCTTGACAATGGCTGCAGCAGTGCCAACAATGTTTGAAACGCAGGTGGAAGCAATATGATGTGGTGTAATGGTACGTAGTGCAAACGGAGCCTTGAGACTGAAGCCAAATTAAGGATTTGTTGTGCCTTCAGCGTGCCATGTCTTTGCATGGGACGCCTTCCAGCGTTGCCCAGCTTATGCACGCGTTTCGAGCCGTGCTTCGACGAGCTGAATCTTGTCGAGGAATTCCTTACAGAGACACCTCGCTCAATTTCATGGTCATCTGCGTTGAGAGCTGTCCGCTGGTCCCTCAACCATTGTGTAGGTTTGGCTCGAAGCTTTCGTTGATACTTCGACAGATCCAACCTTCTCAAGCCTAAACCCGCCACGAAGCGTTTGTGTCTCCTTGGCAGGCATGGCTGTCGCACCGACGGGGCCTGTCGGACTTCTCGTGCGAGCGGGGTCTCCCAGATACCATTTCCGGAGCGGGCTTTGGCTGTAGGCTGACGGCATCCAGGACGCGCCACTCACCAACAGTCAGAGTAGGCTGCCAATGCATATTGGGGCTTGGTTTTGGAATCAGCTCCTGCTGATGTGCACACTTTCGCGTGCGGTGCCAGTGAGAATTTGGTGTTACTTTGCATCGCGCCATCCCCAAGCATCCCTCTGCTGGCTCCAGTCGAATCGCTTGTCGCAGCTCTCGACGGAGGCTCTGCCGTGCCAACCTGGCATGCAGATTGACCATGGCGACACGGCCTCGTGGCTTCCGATTTTTGGAGTAATGGGTTTATGGCTTTATGGTATATAAATATAATACAATAATACATACTGTATAACATGATATAATATGGTCCAGCGGGTCCGGCGTGCCTGACAGGCTGCAGGATTCCGGAGGCTGCAGCATGCTGAAAGGTGTCAGAGCTTTTTGGTGTCGAAGCGCCAGTGCCGTTTGCATGGTCGATTTGTGGATGCTGGTTGTAAGCAACTCACCAAGCAGACTCAACTTTGCATTGTTATCTTACTGATCCCCTTTGCTTGCATACATAGGCGGTTCACGTGCGTTTACCTCAGATTCTGCATACTCTGAAGCTGATTCTCAGAGTTTGTTGTGCATAGGTCTCCGTGCTGCCAGCGAGGATCCATTTAATTCGTCCAGGTTGCAAGTCGTCTCTGTTTTCCTGGCTTCCGCCTGGTCCCCAGATAGCAGCATCGGTGAGGGGAGAGGCGAAGGAGAGGAAGTGAGAGGGGAGAAGGCAGGCATTCCCCAGCTGTCGTAGAAGAAGAAGAAGGGAAGAAGATTGAGAAGAACTCCGAACACCATCAGATAGAGTAAGGCGAATAGAAAGAGACTAGCAGACGGAGGCAGAGGAACTAGCACCGATAGAAGTAAGTCACATTCAGAAAATCTCGTTGATCTCGACTTGCCAAGCAGGGATGCATCGTTGTCAAAGACAAGGAGCTTTGGTCTTGGTCTTCCGCACACTGGGAACTGGGAAGCTTAAAGCAGCTTAGCAACATGCGCACGGTGTCTTTCTCTCTTGTCCCGGGATCTGCAAGCACACCCAGACCGGCCGAGGTTGGCACTGTGGCAAAGACCCATGCCTCATATGTCTGATTCAGCATGAGAAACCGTCTTGCCTTCAGCATAACGGAAGCCTGCATGACACAACTGCTAAACTTGTGCTGGAGGAGTACCCATTTCATCTTTATGCTAGCCTTCCAAGTCACCATCCATCTATCTATGCATGCATCCATGCATAAATACACTCTCGTACATACATTCATTCATACATACAGTTGCGTACATACATACGCTGTTCCGTGCCATTCGGATGTGTTTCAAGCTTTCCTTATCTGTTCACAGATGTTCTCCTGCGCTCGAACAGCGCTAGCCGTTTCAGGTGCTGCTATGGTGGGCTCAGATCGGTTCAGCTTGGCAGGCAGGGCCCACTGGCGCGTCGAGGAAGTCTGCCAGAGTGGAAAGCTGAATTCAGAGAGCTCTGGGCTTGGCATTTGCACCTAAGCAGGATATATTACGCGGCATTTAGCCCCAGTTACTCCTAGATCTGCCAGCCGCCGCCATACTGCCAACAGAAGAGCAAAGATACTGGAAACAGTGGGTCAGAACTGAGGATGTTGATCAGATGTGTTTGATTGTGCCCAACTATTATTGGTTACTTCTTTGCTGCCTGATTTGACTGGAATTGTGTTGCCTGTTTTTCGGCTAATTCGGCAGATCTGCAGATCACCCGCATCCCGTTCTCCGCCAGTGACTCGTGGCAGGCAGCGCAACTTGCCGGAAGGCTTATTTTGGCCAGCTGGCGCAACGTAGGCCTCGTGGTGTTGGGAGGGAGGGTCAGATTATCTGGAGCTATAGGTGTGGAAACCTGTTCAACCGGGGCCCCGTCATCATTGTCACACGCCCTGACAGATTCTTTCCTTTTGGAGGAAATGGAGGAGGAACAGGAGCAGGAGCATTAGAGCAGCAGCAGCAGCAGCAGCAGTACTGGGTGATGCTGGTGGGGTGGTCGCGGTCGTGGTCGTGAGACTAGAAGAGAACTGACACTGACCGGTTCTAGTCGTCGTCGTAGTAGTGGCGGTGGTGGTAGTCATGGTCGTGGCAGTGGCGGTGGCCCTCATAGCAGTCCTGCATGGGAGCGTAGTATGTGGCCACCATTTCGTTCTTCGGCGTTCCCTTCCCCTTGCCCGTGACCCTGCCCTTGCCCTTACCCACGCCCTTACCCATGCTGGCACTCTGCCTTCAACCCGCGCTGGCACTCTGCCTTCCGCTGGGTCCACCCTTCGCGATGCCTTTGTCTGTTGGATGGTCACCCTCCAAAGCCTTGACAACTGTCATAGCCCCTTCAAAATCCGCGACAGAGCTCGTGGCTAAGGACAACAAGGAAAGGCTAGTCAAGTAGTGATGTATCAAATTGCTGCCAGAGTACAAGGCAAGAATGAGCACACACACACACACATACGCAGAGCAGTGGAAACTCAGTTTCGAAGTCATTTGCACTGACTGAGTCACCGGCTGGATTCATTCATCCAATCGCCCCGGCGGCCCCGTTCACCGTGTCGGCACAACCCCACAAACGAACTGACAATTTCCACAACCAAGACTGGCATGATCTCACTTTAATTGTTCAACTCAGTAGCTCAGGCAGGTATTTCGCAGGTAGCAGTATTATGATTAGTGTAGTGCTTTTATCACTAGTACTAGTAGTAGTAGTAGTAGTAGTAGTAGTAAAATACAAAGTAAGAATTGGTAGAGACTGGGAGTTGATAGCATGAGCAGGTAGCAGCTACTCGGTAGTAAGTAATTAGTAAGTACGTAGTAAGTATGAAG